GGAACTGATATTTAGGGGAAAGGAAGAAGAGAAATTAAAGAATATCACTATCAGAAAAGAGGATGTTCTTAAGAGGATAAATAAACTAAAGAAGAAAAAATCCCCAGGGCCAGATGAAATTTCCCCTCGAGTCTTGAAAGAGTGTAGGGAACAGATTAGCGGACCCCTTGTAAATTTATTTACAAAATCATTAGACACCAGAGTTGTGCCAGACTTGTGGAAACAGGCAAATGTAGTACCCATATTCAAAAAGGGAGACAGAGCATCAGCGTCAAATTACCGGCCGATCAGTTTGACGTCAGTAGTGGGGAAATTTCTTGAATCAATAATAGCAGATAGCATCCGATCGCATCTAGAGAAAAGCAAATTAATCTACGACTCGCAACATGGGTTTACAAAGGGAAAATCTTGTCTAACAAATCTGCTGACGTTTTTTAGGAAAGTCTTCGAGGTAGTAGCAAAGCATTTGACAGAGTACCGCATCAGAGGCTTCTGAGAAAAATTAAGGCTCATGGTATCGAGGGGAAAGTTTTAAATTGGATAAAATCATGGCTCGCCGATAGAATGCAGAGGGTCAGCGTAGATGGTGTTAAATCTGAGTGGGGCCGTGTAACCAGTGGGGTTCCCCAGGGGTCAGTACTAGGCCCACTCTTGTTCATAATCTACATAAACGATTTAGATACTGGGAACAGCAGTGACATAAGCAAGTTTGCGGATGACACCAAAATAGGGCGGCAGATTAATTCAGGGCAGGATGCAAATGCATTACAGGAGGATCTAAATAAACTGCAGAGGTGGTCTGAAAAATGGCAAATGAAATTCAACACCAGCAAGTGCAGCGTACTTAATATTGGAAGAACAAATACTGACAATGTATACAGCCTTAACAACATCAACCTAGAGAAGTCGACTTGTGAAAGAGACCTAGGGGTACTTGTAAGCCCGGACCTACGGCCTAGAAAACAATGCGTTAATGTTCGAAATAAGGCAAACAGAGTATTGGGGTTTATATCTAGAAGTGTAAGTAATAAGAGTGCAGAGGTCTTATTGCAACTATATCTTGCGCTAGTCAGGACGCACCTCGATTATGCGGTTCAGTTCTGGTGCCCATATTATAGAATGGATATCAATTCACTAGAGTCGGTGCAGCGAAGAATGACGAAAATGATTCCGGGACTTAGAAACCTTCCATATCAGGATAGGTTAAAGAAACTTAACTTTCATTCCCTAGAAAGACGAAGAGTGCGGGGAGATATGATAGAAGTATTTAAGTGGGTGAAAGGAATCAATAAAGGGGATATAGATAAAGTTCTTATAATATCCGAGCAGGATAAGACTCGGAGCAACGGATTTAAGTTGGATAAGTTTAGGTTTACGAGGGAGATAGGAAGAAACTGGTTCACAAATAGGGTGGTGGACGAGTGGAACAAGCTTAGCAACTTTGTAGTAAGTGCTGGAACTCTGGAAAGTTTCAAAAGGAGGCTAGATAGATTCATGGATGATAGAGTGGTCGTAACTCTCGACAGGAGCTGCCATGCACAGGCCAACCGGCCTATTGCAGACTCCTTATTTTCTTATGTTCTTAAGGTGTCGCTGATCGTATTGCCGGTAGACTCAATAATTAAAATTACTTTTAAAAAATTCATCATACGGAACAAAATAGTGCCGGTTGGTTTGTCAAGAAATATGAGCATTGTACCGGTCACGCAACCATAAATTGAGGTGACATTTATACATTTATACTTTTTTTTAAGAATTACACTAGTATATGACACACGCCATTTTCAATATAAAGTAATACACAAATAAACATGCATGATTTGGGCAGATAAGAAAACAATATGTACAGTAGTTAGTATGTTGTTGTGAACACTGAAAATGATGACTCCAAGGTAGAAAGGATTTTCAGGCAAGTATATTGGACAGAGTGGAGTGAGGGAAATTGTGTAGAGACTAGACAGAATGATGACTAAAGGGATAGACAGGAGGACTACTAACAAGTCATCTGTGGTCCACCGTCCATGTCAACTAAATATTACAGGTTACAAGGTAACAAGATCCTTGATGATACAGCTTGACATTTCAGAACCAACCTCAGACACACACCTTGTTTATTTCGTGTTGTTGCATTCTCACGCTCTACAGCCCCTTCACACACACACACACACACACACATATATATATATATATATATATATATATATATATATATATATATATATATATATATATATATATATATATATATATATATATATATATATATATATATATAATAGGTAGTAGGTAGTAGATAGCTGGGAAGATATTGGAAGCATAATGTGTTGTCTAATGGTAGACCCTGCTGCCATATGTGATCACGAAAATTGTGACCAAGTCCCAGGTTGCTGATCTGCCTTTCTGCCTCATTTACACACAATTGCAGGGTCTCAATTATTTCTCTTACTATTGACAACACAACATACATAGGCTATATTGTTTCTCACTTTTGATCTTTTTTTCATTTTTGTATTTCTTTATTATTATTATTATTATTATTATTATTATTATTAATGTTACATTTTCGCCCCCGTGGATAAGATATATCTTGATCAAATCACACAGGGAAAAGGGAAGCATATCTAGGTCTTGAAACTTTACCTAGCATTAGTGAGGCCACACATGGATTATGCGGTTCAGTTCTGGTGTCCTTATTATAGAATGGACATAGATTCTTTGGAGAGAGTACAAAGAAGAATGACAAAAATGATCCATAATATTAGAAACCTTCCATATGAAGAAAGACTGAAAAGCTTAGGCTTACATTCATTAGAGAGGCGTAGAGTTAGGGGAGATATGATAGAGGTGTACAAGTGGGTAAGTGGGATTAACAAGGGTAAAATGGAAGATGTTCTGAAGCTCAGTAATAACGAAATAACTAGAACAAATGGCTTTAAATTAGATAAATTCCGATTCAGAAAGGATATAGGCAAGCACTGGTTTGGTAATAGAGTTGTGGATATGTGAAATAGGCTACCGAGTGCTATAGTAGGATCGGGGACGCTAGGGAGCTTCAAGACGAAGTTGGATAGGCACATGGAAGTGCTGGGATGGGTGTGAAAGGGATCTGCCCTGTATGGGCCAGTCGGCCTCCTGCAGTATCCCACTTTCTTATGTTCTTATGTTTAGCTTTCGTCTTTATTCAAGACATCTTCAGAGGCATCCGAATTACAAAGACTGAGAGAGAGCTTATGTACACAGGGTGACCTTACCAAACATGAGGTCAGGTAAAAAAACATGACATCCACTAATCCACACACCAACCACACAGCAAACATAAGAACGGGCGACATAATTAGTCATGTCACGTCAGGTAAAAAACATTGACCCACTAATCATCTATCATACATCTACCTTAAATGCTTTCAAAACAATTTTTAACCTTGGGCCACTGGCAAATAAATTTGTGTAACATATATCAGTTTTGTACTGACTATCACTAAGGTTTGAAGAATTCATTTCTCTAATCAAACTTGCTTCAACTAGAGGTCTTTCTGTGACACATGATGATTTATACACTTCTAAACTGTTTTCCCAATCCATAGGATGATTATTGTTCCTTACATGAACGAACAGTGCACTGCTTTCAGATGCCGTTCTAATATTGTACTTGCGCTGTTTAATTCTGACCTGCATAATTTCCATTACAATTGCTACATGGAATACAGTAAACACTTCCATTTACATTCAGGGTTGGGCTATTCTTAATTAATATATTAGTAATAGTTGAGTCATACTTAAAAACAACATTTGTGTTGGCTGAGGGAAGCATTCATGATGGAGCAGAGGGGTTTAGCTAGTTCCGGGGAGAATTCCTTGTAGAGTTTCATTGGTCAAATTAGCGGCCATTAGTTTGACGTCAGTAGTGGGGAAATTTCTTGAATCAATTATAGCAAATAGCATCCTATCGCATTTAGAGAAAAACAAATTAATCTACGACTCTCAACATAGGTTTACAAAGAGAAAACCTTGTCTAACAAATCTGCTGACGTTTTTTAGGAAAGTCTTGGAGGTAGTAGATAATGACGAAAATTACGATGTTATTTACTTCGACTTTAGCAGAGTACCGCATCAGAAGTTGTCACCTTCACAACTACACCCATAGTCAGTGAGCTAAGTAACCCGGGTTCAGGTGTAGTGACTGCCAAGCAAGCGTTGCTGACGAGGCGTTATCAAGAGAGACCCAGGGAAGACCCGACAACTGACCATTACCCAGGAACACGATCCGTCGATCGATTTACATGTTCCCGGTCCCCAATCACTGCCGGGTAGACAAAGGCAATTGACGCGGAGGAACTTGCACATAAATCCATCCAGTGTAGAAATGGTATCCAGATCTCCCCTGTTGTGAGTTAAGGATGTCAACCTGTACACCGTCCACAGCACTACACCCATATACTTAGATAAATTTTCAAAACAGTGATGTAGAGGACAAAGTGGAAAATTAAAAAGTGATTAGAAGGCTCATGAGAAAATATGTGTTTCTTAATAATAAAGTAAAACTGGGTCCCGTGGGTTTAAAGGCCTGCTAGAGACTGTAGATACTGCAGCCTGGTTGACACTGCACTCGACATCTGTCACTTCCCCAACTGTAAAGATAGGTAAACATTTACTGCTGACTAGACTGAAGATGCCCAGATACTCAAATGACAAGGAACGAGTGTTGTATCCTCTTAGCCGCCGCACCTCTACGCAACAGAATATTTTGACCGTTAAGATTCGTCGAATGGGAATGAAGTGTGTACAAGGCTTGGGACACTGAATTTTGTTCACTTCCCATTGATACACTGGAATGTGTAGTACAATAAAACTGTGAGTGAAGGCCCTGGTTGACAAGTACGAGCTAAATCAATGTGTAACTGTGTATATCGTCATGACTCATGATTGATGTTAACAGGTCATACCCATGTTGAAATTTTATCTTGGTTCATGTTCTTATGGTGTTATCTTGTTTTCCACAGGTCTAAGTGTGGGCGTGGGCGTGGTGTGGTTCGTCTCGGTTGTGTCTGAGGAGTACGGTATAGCTTCGGGCAGAAGGACCAGTTGGGCCGCCATGTACGCTTATCGTTACGGCTGGGCGCTCATGGCTGCGAGCAGCGCTGGTGTAGCCGCCTTACTGGCCGCCCTCCTCACCGGCCACGCCCACCTGGCTCGCCACGCCCCCCTGGTGGCTGGGATGAAGACACGGTCTAGCAGCACAGAGGAGAGTCTGGCTCGCCCCCTGCTGAGGTGCCGCAGTGAGGGATGTCTGGGCCAGCGATCCTTCACCTCGGACACCATCAGAACCTACCTCACCTGTGACTCCCGCCGCCACCACTCCCGTGGCTGTCTTCCTCCTCCCCCGCCCCTTCATCATTGCCCCTCCATTGTCGACCTCACACGCCCTCTGGAGGACCGACGCCCGTCCGAGCCACCCCAGTCACGTCGCTCCTCACGAGCCACCATCCTTGGGGACGATATTATTCGTGACCATCATATCCATCTTCAGCAGCAACAGCAACACCAAAAACAACAACAGAAACAACAACAACAGTCAAAACAGCAGCAGCAAACACAACAAGAACTGCAACAACAACAGACACAACAGCAGCAGCAAGGGCGAGGCTGGCCAGTGGAGACGTCTCGAGTGATCATCGAGGCCCCGCGTGGTGCACTGACTCCAGTGGTGCCTCCCCCACCTCTGAGCTCCTCCTCCTCGTCTACCTCTCCGTTGGAGCCTCCACCTCCCCTGCCGCCCACCACCAGGGTAGGTGGTGGAGGTGGGTCAAGGCGCCTGGGTGAGGGAGGCACCAACAGGCCACTGTGCGAGCCGCTGCGCCTACCGGAGTACAACTCGTTTACAGCGGGCGACTACAGCCGCACGCTGCCCACAGAGGGCCGCCAGATGGCTGTGTTTGAAAGGCGATCAGGTGGACGCTCCGCCACCCTCACCCGATCCACTACTAAGATATCCTCGGAAGTATGAGGACCAGATGCCATAAGGCATCACTCTAGGCGATATTCTTATGACCCCGGGGGGGAAACCTGGGTATAGTACCGTACCGTACCGTCAGTGTGGACACTCACCAGTGAACACTACACACTGTTCTCACACTAAAATTCCCAAAACTTACAGCACATTACTGTACTGTGTATACATATACGATAAACTTGTAAGTTCCCGACGTCTCACTAAGTTTTTTTTTTACGATATCAACTGACGGGAATTTATTGCTTACAACGCATTAAGTACTGTACTGTATGTGGTTCATGTAACTGTGTGTGTTATGGTTCCTGGATCTCCACAACGTAAACACTAGTTAACTCATTAATGGCCTCTTGAAAAACATATGTAAACTTTCATGAGTGAGAAAAAAGAATAGAATAACAAATCTCACCCAACATCAATGCAATACTGTCTTGGTGAAGAACTGTGACTCTTCTCTGTGCTTCATGTGAGGTGGTGGTGGAGACGCCCTCCCGCCCACTCTCAGCTTCTGTATATATGTCCTTGATCTTACCTATTGGTATTCTTGTTCCCATTACTTGTCCTTTAAACAAGCTACTATATGTCCATTAGCCTATCCTGTGTGCTACATTTCTCCACAAATGACAGTGATGGGAGAGTATACTGTAGTTGCGAGTGTCTGCAGCCAAGCTGAAAACCCTGGAGTTTGACGCTCCTCTCCATCAACTCACAACTCCGTATATTTTTCAGCCAGGAGTCAACATTTACCTCATATATTAGTCAGTGGTTGGTGCATTAGATCAACGATGTTGTTTCTGGAGGTAACAGGTGGCTTTGTTTATATTTACTTGACTTTTATTTTATATTTTTTTATGCAGGAGCAAGTTTGTAAAGCTCGACTTCTCTAATCTTCCCTAAAACAAACTTAACCAAGTCTGGAAGTTGATAACTTATGTTAGGTGGAGAAGAACGTGGAGAGCAGCTGTGACAGAGTTTGACATCTTTGACGCGGCTTGAAAATGACTGCCGTACTAGGGCCAGCATGAGAAATTAACAGCACTTGGCATACACTCCACCACGACATGTTCACTGTGGAAGGTTCGCCCGCGTTTTAGCTACATTGGCACTTTATTTATCACACCAGCATGAAAGTAAGACCAGCACCACAGAAATGTTTGTTATGTATCGTGACCATTTTAGCCATGACCCGCCGCTAGACTGACAGTATGTTCTTTATTACACACCAACCAATATTCATCATCAACATTCCACAATATTAACATTTAGCGTAATAAATCTTAATTCATCAGCATATCTTTCATAATATACTTGAAATCAACCAGATAATAATCCTTCATGAAAATTGTTCATGCGAGAGAAATGTGTGTGTGTGTGTGTGTGTGTGTGTGTGTGTGTGTGTGTGTGTGTTCTCAGACGACCAAAAATTAAGCATTCCTCTCGGCTCACATTCACACTTTTTTTTAACAGTAAATTGCCAGGAGTGACATGTTCTCATCATTAAAAAAAGACAAAGAGCAAAAGTTTATATTTCTCGAAAATAGTAACATTTTATCGAGATTCCATTAAAAAAGAAAATAATTAAATAACCCTGAGCGTCTTTCACTGTAAATCTTGGCTAAAAATCTCATTGTTTTCCGAGAATCTGACAATTTACAAAAAAATAAACGTGTTTGTATTTTTTAATAGGAAAAAAAACGTCAATTTCCCTGGAAGGCAGTAAATGTTTTTGAACAGAAACTAAGAAAATTCAACTTGAGTATCGTTCAATATAAATCATGGGGTAAAAAAAATATCTCATTGTTTCGGGGAATCTTACAATTTCTATCATTACCTTTTTTTCGTTTTAGTTTTATTTCATTTCATTTACAGCAATAATTCCAATAACATAAGAACAAAAACCAAATAAACTTAAAAAGAAAAAAATATGCAGGAAAAAAGAAACAGATAAGAAACAAGACGAATATGAGAATAAAACAAAAGGAGCAAAATGTCAATGAAATTTCCCAGCCATTGTTAAGTTCAAATTACCTAATTACGGTGTTTACTCTGATGGAATGGTTGACTAAGCTCCTGAACTGTACGAGCAAAATTCCAGAGGTCATATTTCCAAGATGGCAAAATCTTACTGGACAAAATCTCACTGGACAAAATTTCACTGGACAAAATCTCAATAGACAAAATTACAGAGGACAATATCTCACTCGACAAAATCTTACTGGACAAAATCTCACTGGACAAAATCCCACATGATAAAATGTCGCTGGACAAAACCCCATTGGACAAAATTTCACTGGACGAAATCTTACCAGACAAAATCTCACTGGACAAAATCCCACCATCAAAATAGTAGAAAATAAAAAAATCCCAAGGGCTCGAATCATTTCTAATAATCCTAATATCCGGTGAAATTAACGTTAAGTCTTCGTTTAGCTATTCAGTTATAGGACTAAATCGAATCTTTCCTTCAAGGAGTTCAATTCATCTTCGAACCCGGTTTCGAATCCGAGTCTTTTTTACATGTAAATTGACTTGGTTTCTATCTCTTTTTTTTACAATAACCGATTGTTTTTACTGGTTTTCTGTACCTTCGTCTGGACTGGTTCTCAAGTTCATGGTCTTGACTGTTTCTCTAGTTCTTGGTATTGACTGGTTCTCTAGTTCTTGGTATTGACTGGTTCTCTAATTCTTGTTCTTGACTGGTTCTCTAGTTCTTGGTCTTGACTGGTTCTCTAGTTCTTGGTCTTGACTGGTTCTCTAGTTCTTGGTCTTGACTGGTTCTCTAGTCTTGACTGGTTCTCTAGTTCTTGATCATGACTGGTTCTCTAGTTCTTGGTCTTGACTGGTTCTCAAGTTCATGGGCTTGACTGGTTCTCTAGTTCTTGGTATTAACGGGTTCTCAAGTTCATGGTCTTGACTGGTTCTCTAGTTCTTGGTATTGACTGGTTCTCTAGTTCTTGGTTCTTGACTGGTTCTCTAGTTCTTGGTCTGACTGGTTCTCTAGTTCTTGGTCTTGACTGGTTCTCAAGTTCATGGGCTTGACTGGTTCTCTAGTTCTTGGTATTAACGGGTTCTCAAGTTCATGGTCTTGACTGGTTCTCTAGTTCTTGGTATTGACTGGTTCTCTAGTTCTTGTTCTTGACTGGTTCTCTAGTTCTTGGTCTTGACTGGTTCTCTAGTTCTTGGTCTTGACTGGTTCTCTAGTTCTTGGTCTTGACTGGTTCTCTAGTTCTCGGTCTTGACTGGTTCTCTAGTTCTTGGTCTTAACTGGTTCTCTAGTTCTTGGTCTTGACTGGTTCTTTACTTCATGGTCTTGGCTGGTTCTCTAGTTCTTGGTCTTGACTGGTTCTCTAGTTCTTGGTCTTGACTGGTTCTCTAGTTCTTGGTCTTGACTGGTTCTCAAGTTCATGGTCTTGACTGGTTCTCTAGTTCTTGTTCTTGACTGGTTCTCTAGTTCTTGGTCTTGACTGGTTCTCTAGTTTTTGGTATTGACTGGTTCTCTAGTTCTTGGTCTTGACTGGTTCTCTAGTTCTTGGTCTTGACTGGTTCTCTTTCTGACTGGTTCACTTGGTCTTGACTCTAGTTCTGGTCTTGACTGGTTCTCTAGTTCTTGGTCTTGACTGGTTCTCTAGTTCACGGTCTTGACTGGTTCTCTAGTTCTTGGTCTTGACTGGTTCTCTACCTCTTGGTATTGACTGGTTCTCTAGTTCTTGGTCTTAATTGGTTCTCTAGTTCTTGGTCTTGACTGGCGCTTTAGTTCTTAGTCTTGTCTGGTTCTCAAGTTCATGGTCTTGACTGGTTCTCAAGTTCTTGGTCTTGATTGCATCATCTGATTCTCTAGTTCTTGGTCATGACTGATTCTCTAGTTCTTGGTCATGACTGATTCTCTAGTTCTTGGTCATGACTGATTCTCTAGTTCTTGGTCATGACTGATTCTCTAGTTCTTGGTCATGACTGATTCTCTAGTTCTTGGTCATAACCGATTCTCTAGTTCTTGGTCATAACCGATTCTCTAGTTCTTGGTCATGACTGATTCTCTAGTTCTTGGTCATGACTGATTCTCTAGTTCTTGGTCATGACTGGTTCTTTAGATCTAGATATAAACTGACTGGTTGTTTGACTTCTCATGACTGACTGGTTTTCAGGTCTGACTGGATAAAGTTCTGGATTCGTGGTCTTTTATTTTTTAGTTTTCCCATACTTTATCTTGATTGATTTATCCGCTGATGCTTGTCTCTTATTGGCTGATCCTCCGATGATTGGTCCTGATTGACTGACGAAAAGTTAAAGAGTTTAAATGAGTAGGACCAGAGGTAGCCAGACTTTGGTGAGATTGGATCTACTACTTTTTCCATGGTATCCAAACGTGATCTACTAGCAAAAATTTTCCTAACCTCCAGCAGACAAAGGATAGATTTTGAGTCTTAAAGGAAGGAGAGAGAGAGAGAGATTATATAATTTTCAAAGCATTATCATACATCTAAGAGCGGGATGAGGAAGACCTTACTTTACTGATGTGATGATTTGCTCTCAATGGTGAATTTTTATGTAAGCGGTTTCATTTTCAGTGACATTGTTAATGAAATATTCCCCAAATTATTTAAATGTGTCCTTCCTTGCTAAATGATTGCTAGATGCAAAGACAAAACACGTCAATTAAGCTCATATTATAAACATATTTTATTGTATACTAAAGTGTATTGAACTGCTCAAATCACTTATTGAACAATACCGTAATGTTATGGTCACATATTAGGCATTAATGAAGATATTAATATACATTCATATTGAAGAGTATACTCTTCAATATGCTGATACTACACATTGAAGTTTCGAGGTTGCTGAAAAGATGCTTAGTTTAAATCAGGAATTTTTAAGCTGTGTTCACCACCGTTGGGAATAATACTGTACTGTATCTGGCAGATAATGGAAGGCAAGTTCTAAAATTATCAACAAAAGATCCTAATTGGAAAATTTTCAGGTTTGGGCAAAAATTTTATCATAAACAAAAAGTAATCCTGTTTGACACTTATACGTTGAGCAGTGTAAGGGTAAACTAGTATAAGGTTTGGATGTTGGAAGCAACTTATGTGTACAATGTAAAAAAAAAAATCGTAGAAGAATTTGTAAGCTTAATCGACCAAAATTAGAGTAGATTGGAGTTAAGATTATTTAGAAATGAGAGAGGAGTGAAAGCTTGGTTAATATTTTATGAACTTAGACCATTGAAGACGGTAGATCACACTTAATGTCTAAAGGTCTTTTTTTTTTAGTTTAAGAAATTTATTGACAAAGCTTGGAGTACAGTTTGCCTATTCTGAGTAATTCAGTCAGGTCTTGACACTGAGGGTGGTATCACTTCTCACTGCCACACAGGACAGAGGCTCATACACAAAGGAATAGATCTTATTCATTAACAGTATATATAGGTCAGATTCATGCGGGTTGATGTCGCTGTTCACTGCCATGCAGGACAGAGGTTCGTACACAAAGAAATACATCATATTCATTAGCAGTATATCTTAGGATATAAAGATTTAAAAGTCTAAAAGATCTTAAAGTCTGAATGTCTTGAGGTCTGAAGGACTTAAGTTATGTAGACTTTCAGGTTTGTCGGTTTTTCAGTCTGAAGGTCTTAAGGCTTGAAGTGTTCTGGTCAATGAAAATTTTAAGATCTAAGAGTGTGTCGGTCTAAGGTGTAAAGGTCTAGAGGCGTAAAGGTGAGTTGGTGTATTAAACTGGCTATGCTCCTCAGTTTGGTTCTTATGTATGGAAAAGTGGATAAGCTGGAGTACGTGTATAAACGTGTGTGTGTGTAGGAATGTATATACACATATACAAATATATATATATGCACACATATATATGTATGGATGTATGTATGTATATTCTCAAGAAAAATAAGAACATAAATGTATAAGGTGTTAATGGTACTATGTATCATTACCCAAAATATACATATACGAATGTCCTTAATACATACCTCTGTATGGTGTTGAGTAAGCTGTATTTTATACATAAACGCTAAATACACACATATCAAATACCATAATTAATACTTTTGTAGATAAAGTGCTTTTACCACGATTGATGGATGTTTGGTGCAATAATAAAAGAATAAAGTCAGTCGATATATTTTAATATCCCCTTCAACTTGTATGAAACAAAGCCATCAAAGAAAATTAAATGCAAAAGAGAAAAAAATCTTTGAAAACCAAAATAAATTCTAAAAGTGTGTCGGGAGAGCACCGATGCCCTGCTTTGCACTTTGATTGCAAATGTTAACAACCTACAATGAGATCATCGGAAAAGATAAACTAAAAACATGATCAAAGACAAAAAGTGTAATGAGCCATTCTTGACGCTGTAGTAGTCATTACTATGCACGACAATGTAGAGTTCCACAATCATATGGCCAATTGTATTTGAATGAAGTCTCTTAGTTCGGACTATTGGGTAAACACGACACTGTAATGTACGTCCCTTCCATATTCTACTGTTGACTATATAAACGCAAAGACAGAGTTTGCCACATTTTCGAGAATCTTAAAAAGTCAATATTATTTTTCACGTCTTAAAAAGATCCATCGTTCCTGATGTGGTTCGTGACACAGCATAACCTCAAGCTATAAGAAGTCGAGTAAAGGTTATGCTCTCTGGGGGTCCGCCAGGCCACGGTCAAAGCAAGGTGAAAGTGCATGAAATAACCGGCGTTAATTACAGGCTCTAAAAATTGGTCCCACACAAGAAAATACAAAAGTCGTGCTGAATATCATTAATCTCTCTCTCTCTCTCTCCTTCGTCCGTCAATCCATCTCCCCTCTCTTCTTCTTTCACCTTCCCATTTCCTCCTTCCCTCTCCTTCTCTACCCATTCCTCTCCCTTCCTTCCCATCTCTTCCACCACCTTTTGTCACTCTACCACTTCTCACTCTTCCCCACCCCATCTGCCTTCCACATACTCTCTTCTTTCCCCTCCCTTTAATGACCTTTCCATTTAACCCTCCCCCCACTCCTTCCTCCCACCCCCTATCTCTCACCCTTTCCCGTTCTATTTTTTCATCACATTCCTCCTATTTCTTCATCCCATCCACCCCCTTCCCACTCCATCCATTCCTTCCCTTCCCACCTCTTCATCCCACCCCTCTCATTTCCTTCTTCAGTCCATCCCTTCTCTCTCTCTCTCTCTCTTCAATCCACCCCTTTTCTCTCCCCTCCTCCTCCGATTCCTTCATCCACCCCCCCCCTTTCAACCTACCCTTCCTCCTCCTCCTCTCGCTCCTGTAAGCCCTTTCCATCACTTTCCACTAACCTTCTCCCTCCACTCTTTCATCTCCTCCCATCCTCACCTCCTTCTTCCCTCTGCCCCCCCCTTTGGCCCCTCTCTTTAACACTCCATCACACTCTTCCCATCCTCACCTCCTTCTTCCCTCTACCCTCCCCCTTTGGCCCACCCCTCTCCTTAACACTCCATCACACTCTTCCTATCTACCCTTCCTCCTCACTAGGGGGCGGGGCGAGGGATATGATGAGGTGTCTACACAGCAGGAGTGGACAGTCTGGGGTTGGGATGCGACACACGAGGCCTGGCGACGTTGTAAACAAGAGAGGCTGCCGGACCCTGGGAATAGTAAGTGGCTGGCCTGCTGGTCCAACCCAAGCCTCCAGTTAGTGGGCGAATCTTGGGTGTTGCATTGTTTTGTTTTGCTTTTGAAAAAGATGTATTGTTGGGGTGTGTGTGTGTGTGTGTGTGTGTGTGTGTGTGTGTGTGTGTGTGTGTGTGTGTGTGTGTGTGTTCCAACTCACAGATGGTGGAGGTGCTGTGTGAGCAAGCAAGTCCTGGGCCTTATATTATTATGTTTCGAAGATGAGTTGTTGAGTGATGTATGTTTGGGAGACTGTGTGTGTGTGCCTGCCAAGTGCAGCAAGCAATTCCAGAGAACTGCAGTGCCTTGTTAAGTTAAAAAAACATTACGCGTTGCCTGTGTGTGTGTGTGTGTGTGTGTGTGTGTGTTCTGTACATTTATTCCACCAACCTTTCGAAACTCAGGAGAGCACCCAGAAATTTGCAATTGTGACTTTCATATTTTTCTTATTTGCCCCCACCCCCTCCCCCCAAGTTTCCTATCAATATTTACACATCAGTTCCTAATTTACATCACGTCTTGGAAATAAGTCATGGGAAAGTCATCACAGATAAAAAACACGATTGGCATCTGACCATGACAAGCCCTCCCGTGACGTCATGAAGAGCGTCAACCAATAATATTCACCAAATTAATTCCACTACAAGCATCTCATTAATATTCCCATCCTGGTAACGTCATATGATTTTCTTAGGCAATAGTGTAATAATTCACCGAGTAATTGGCAACTTATGTCATTAATATCCCTGCAGGCAGTATTTAAAGTCGCAGTTATTGACAGCATATCAGTTTAATGAGGCAGGTAACATTTAGCCTATCAGACTACCTCGCCCACGTCACCAGGAGGCGGGCTAATAATAAACACTAGTTAGGTGTAGTACCCTAAGGCACGCCTCCCTAC